TGTAGGCGAGACGGGTTAGTGACTAGATATATCGAGTAGCTAGTTTTAAGTATAAATGACATTAGGATAGCTATAATACGGGTGTTTGTTATAAATACCAGCTGTAGAGTTGATAAGAGCAGATTATATGATAACTTGAGCTGTTATAGGGTAGATATAGCACTTCTGTCGTTTTGTTAGGTCGTATTTTCGCTCGTAGGCAGCCATATTGGAACATGCTGTAGTGATGTAAATTTATAGTACGCGTATTTTCATTGGCTGGGTTCAGAGTGAGGAGCCAATGAGATCTGTCCGTGGGATATATAAGCCGGTGTTTTCACGTACTCGGGGCAGACAGAGCTGGACAGCTTGACTGACACAAAACATGTCCAGGTAAGGATGGGTTAACTGCCACGTTTGTAATCAGGGTCGGATGACCTGAGAGACCCGGTATAGGTCCATGGGTAGAGTTACCACATGTTAGGTTGAGCATGCCGCACGGGCATTAGCAGTGCTTCATGGCTTGAAAGCCAGGGTGTAGAACAGCTGATTTGTGTATATATATATAATGTAGGGTTAGTGTGGAGAAACACAACAATGAAACTGACACAGAACAGAGGACAGTTCATATATCTCTCCCTGTTAAGTCTGTAATAGACCGTTTAGCATTAGAGATGGAGGTCTCACAATGCCTAGTTGGTAGTTTTATTGGCTTTAGGGGAAATATAGGAACTTGGCTTGGAAGTGTATAGAAGTAAGGATGTAACTTTTAGTTTGGCTATTAATGTAAAGGGTGGGTATAAATAGGTTGTGATACAGGAGTTATGATATTTATCTAGAAAGGTTATCAGGTTTACCCTTACAAAACCATTCCATTATGATGTACACTTTTTTTTTTTGATATTCCTTATTGTCCATATTCTACAATGGCAACAACATTTACAATGGTTATTATTGTTAACACTGTTGATATTTGATATTGTTATTAAATACTGGAACTGTTATTTCTGACTCTGGTTTTCATTTCTCTAATCTCCCGCCTGATGGGAAAAGAACACGGTAGAAGAGGGATAATGAGGAAAAGGTGTCAGGCATATGAGATCACAGAATTAAACACAACGCGAAGTACATTATCATACCCACTATATCTGGGATTGACACCTATTCGACAGAAATCCCCCTTCTACTACAAATGTAGTCAGAAATTCAACATTGTTTCCCGTATTTTGTTCTAATTGTTGAACAGACACTCCTTACCTTACCTGACACTGGAGTTGGATAGTAGGTAATCCAAAAACACTTGTATCCATTATGAAAGATACACTCAGACTGGGCTATTGAAAATAAAGACAAACTTACCTGGTTCTGATTAGTACTCACTCACACAGGTACATGTAACTTATCTGCAGTGTAGGGTAGGTAAAAAGATTGTCCAGGTGAACATTTTTACTCAATTTTTCTGTTTTGTTCGAGTTGGGAAGCATGCAATAAGCCAGTTATTGCATGATTTCACGTCACTCGGGACTTATTACACCCTCGCCTCGCTCGGGTGTAATATATCCCTTGTTACTCGAAAACCATGCAATAACCTTTACATGTTTGATATTACCCCTTGATGTAAAATGTGTTCAGCATGACGCCAAGACATGTTTTAACACACATGTTATACGGTGTTCCTTGAACGCATACACCACTAGAACATTAGGTAGAAGCATCAAAGGGAGGGAAATTATAGTTTGTATCATGTATGTACTGTATTTACCTGAGATATTTTACCCGTAGATCTACCTGTTATTTGAAAGGTAAAAGGTTATGAGTTATAAAGTGTAGTGAGAAAACATTGTAGGTATTGTTCGTTATGTTTTATTGTTCTGTATTGATGTTTGTTTCATCTTCATATTGCCTTAAGCTTTTTACGAAGGCGAATTATTCCGAAACACATACAAATGAGAAACAGAATGACAATTCAAAGGCACTAACATCATATTGTAGTATATCCCTGAGTGTGTTTGAGTGCCGTACTCATCAGCAGTTTTGTCCGTGTAGGACCAGATTCCACCAACTTCATGATGTTTTTCAAAAGCTGTTGGTATAAACTTGTCCGACTTTTGACTGAGATGTTTGAGGGCGCAGAGCCCGGACACGCCTGCTCCTATCACAGCTATTTTCTTTTTCCCGGCCGTGTCCTTGTCATTCCTGTAAATGTAATGACAAATTTAAATATTTAGATATAGCGGTAATGCTTTTAAAACACACGGAGACAAAATTTAGCTAGTACTTTCGCCCTTCTTTGCGCTCTTCAGGCGATTTGAATTTGTTTATGACATCATAAATAGAGTACACAAACTTAATAGTCTAACATAATGACGTCATAAACAAAGTACAAATAATAATGCAGACGTCTAGATGATATAAAGATGACAAATACTTAAGACGTCAGAAATAATGACGTCATAAGCAATCATACATAGAGAACACATACTTAAGACGTTCACATTATGTGTACTTTGCTAATATCGTCATTATTCAAGTTCCAGTTCAAGTTCTTTATTACCTTGGGTCGTTTGACCCATCGGTTTCAAAAGTGAGATATATTTACAATATTTACAGACAATACAATATAATACAATACATATAATACAATACTAGCAATGTACAAACAGTATGGAGAGTGTAACAAATTAAGTTAATAGGTTTCTTCTTACATTTGCGGCTTTTATCTATTTGGCCAAATTGACAAGTTCTTTTTTATTATTTACATTAAATAATTTTATCATTTTAAACATACATGTTTTTTTAACATAGTAATTTTTAAACATTTAACACGCAAATCCGAATAACACGGATATTTCAACATGAAATGAATCTCATCTCCAGGATCATTTAGATAACATACATAACACATTCTTAAGACTACGTTCAATGTTTTGATATCTACCTTTTTCTATATTTGAATTATGAGCAGATAACCTAATTTTTGTAATCACTTTCAAATATTCTCTAGTTAGTGATTTTCTTAAGTAACACTGTAAATCAAACTGGTTGTAAAGATATGTATATATATATCCCTTTGAAGATGTTCTTACTTTTTCTTTGCATTCCTTGTCTATATATATATCAAAGTTTTTCTCTAATAAGATTATAACACATATCATCATTTATTTCTGTTTCCCATATGTAACCTAGGCCAATTCTATATAAATCACTGTTTATGTTCAAAACCCATTTACCCTTATTTTCTAACATATCTTTATAACATGCTTGAACAATACAATTATTAATCCCCTTTAACTTAATCCAATGTTTAATCATTCTTAACTTTATGATGTTTAACGTCCTAAGTATGAGTACTCTTTGCATGACGTCACAAACAAATTCAAATTGCCCGATGATCCCAAAGAATGGTGAAATAACTAGCGAAATTTAGTCTTTGGTGTGTTGTTTTATTTATATATATAAACATAACAGTTCCATTCACAAATACAAATTGAGTTCACGACCTCGCTGTGATTTGTAGAGCTCGTCCATTTTTCTGGCCAGAATGAGTTTCCTGGTGTAAGTGTTCTTTACTTAATTGCCCGTATGAAAGCAATATATCCAATGTAAGATGCGATCATCTTACAAATACTTATCTACTCAAACAAAAAGCCCTATTAAAGTAATTACGAGGAACATTAAGCGTGGTACTGTTATGCCCATAGCAGAATGGATAAGTAAATAACAAGGAGAAACCAAAGATATACCATTCGTTATAACGCTTAATCCTTGAGATTTTGTTTTGTTTTGTTTAGTATTGTTTAACGTCCTATCAACAGCTATGGTAATTTAAGGACGGCCTCCCCTGTGTACAAAATGCGTGTAGTGTATGCCTGTGCGTTTTGGGAGGCTGCGAGATGTTCGTGTTTGTCTCCTTGTGATAGCGCGGAATTGATGCCGACTTTATAATGCTACCTTATAATCACCGAAACATACTGCCGAATACACCCAACAGGACATCCCACCCGGTCACATTATACTGACAACGGGCGAACCAGTCGTCTCACTCCTAAATTGCTGAGCGTAAAGCAGGCGTAGAAACTACCATTTTCACAGACTCTGGTTTAATCCCGGAGTCATTTCTTGCTAGTAAATTCACCGACTTTGTGGCTGGTATATGTAAATATTGAACTCTAAAAAGAAAATACTGATGCATGGTATTTCCTGGTACCATTGTACAATCCACGTTTTATTATATAAATACCATCCGTGACAGGTGCGTTATCTCACACAAGTGTTCAGGTGTGCTCACGGTGGTGTTATCGTGGATTCTAGGTACATGTCAATACGTAAGGTAATCACATTGTTTGCATTGGATTCTTACAACCGATGAATTTAACATTTTTTATTGTTTAAAATAAACCGCTATCGTTACCATCATTCATACTTTGACATTGATAAATGTTTGCAAGTAGGTCATTGATCCGTTGTTTTAGTTTAAAACAGGAACGAATGTCAACAAACAGCAGGTATCTCTGTTGTGGTTTTCAATGTTTAATACAAGTTTAAACCCGAAACTTAAATCATAATTTCAAAATGATAACTGAAGCATTTCCTATTCAATGTAAACAGCTAAGTTTTAATTGAAAAGATTTAAAGTAGTCTAACTAAAATACGGAATAAATATGGAAGTATGTTATTTTAAAAAGTTCTAAAATACAGGGAGTTATTGCGTTTTTCTTTCGAGATTAATCTTAAATGAAAAATAAGTCTATTTTCAAGGACACAAATTACGTTTCTTTTTCATTTTTAAACATGTGGAGCTGATCATGAATCCCCTAGTTGTGGGGGTTCTGATGATGATTTTATTTCTGCGCAACTGTGTTGTTTCATTAGGTCTGGATCTCACCTAGAAAGAATATTTTACAAAACATGTTAAAACGTTTTGTTTAACATTAAAATACGAAGGTTATTATTCATGAAATTTTAACGTTCGCTTGTAGGCAAAAGTGGCTTTTGGAGTCTTCGGAAAAATGTTAATCTTAAACATTTTGTTGAATATCCCGACGCAGAATACATTGGTATGTGCCGTGTATACTGAATACTAGTCTAGACGTCACTGACGTGAAGGTATGTGAAATATTTTTAAATTAATTATTTCACTTTGATTTCAAGACTCAATTTATTATAAATGTAATTTTGTGTAGGTTCTGGAGGTTTATCCATAGTTTAGATTTAAATATCAAACGGAAAGGAGACATTCATCAACCAAGACAACTAAGTAAGTAAACAGGCCTGCAGAATTCCAGACAACCCTTACCCTATCGGTATTTTCGAATGTCAAAGTCAGTCATCAGACAACTTAACTTGTATGATCAGAACATTGCCAAACTACGGTAATCAGGTAGACTTAGCTGCTTTGTTTATATGAAAACTAGCAAGCTTACGCCTGTCGAAAATGGCTTTCTTGAGCATGTCAACAAATTGTATGTTTTTTGGTTTTAGAAGTTGTTGGCTGATTGAGCGCGCATGCTACGTACCATGTACATATATTGAGTGATTAGTATCGTTAATGGTAAATAATTTCAGCACCGCGGTTTCAATTTTACTGGTGACATAATACTGTGCTGACTATCTTCAGCCGCGAGACTAAAGTGGTAAATATGTAGGGTCACAAATTTAAGGTTTACCTGACTGCAATAACATCTACACATGTTTTGGCTGTAGAAGTTGGAAGGTATACTAATATACCTAGAGAACGTAGATATTGTAAACAGTGTAACTCCCTCTCTACAGTAGAGGACGAATTTCATTTTTTATTGGTCTGTTCTAAATTTGAAAGGTGCAGATCCCGTTTTATCAAAAGTTATTATTGGAAAAAAACATCTGTGTTAAAAGTCGTTAAGTTATTGAGTGTCCATAATATTAAAGAGTTGTGTCTACTAGGTAAATTCATATATAAGGCAAACATAAAAGGGTAACATAATTGAATATGATTGTCATATTTCCCTGTACATTGTCCATGATTTGTGTGTAATACGTATTGTATACTGATGGGCGCCTAAAGTTCAAATAAAACTTGAAACTTGAAACCATTTTGCAAAGGATATTGAGAATAATATAAAATCTGTAGTATGTTCAAAAGCTTAACGTTGACTCCTTAAATTTCTTAGTGAGAGGACATCTACAAAGGACGTTCACTTGAATATGGTGTGTTGAAATCTAAAATGTAACCGGGTGTCACATACGACACTCCCTAGAAAAATAACATATCCAAACTATGTAATCAAGATACGGATTCCGTGTGTGTCTGGCTATACAGCCCGCGCTACTGTTCTCGTGGAGCAGTTGAGACTAACACAGGTGATATACAGAGACAATGAATGGTTGAGCAACGACTAGATTACTTTGCACACGATATAAGCGCTGTTCTATACATTTCTTTTTAATAAATTGTATTTATTATTGCACAGAAATGGGCCAGGAATTAAAGTCTAGTATTGGTTTATATTTTGATGTATTTAGTATGAAAACCAAACACCTGAAGGCTATAAATTTGTTCTGTGTGTTCAAGTTTTGTCTAACTCACAAAGATACCACAATAAATGAATGGCTATACTGTAAATGTATTGTTAAGTGTATTATTACGAATACATACAAAGTGTATAACATCAAAGATAACCTTTTCTCCCAAACTTCACAGGTACATTCCCGATTTTGGTAGGTACAAAATAAACCTGTCTTGATCTACATCGATCAAGACAGCTTTCACGCGCTATTACGTCACAGATAACGCACTTTTTAACATGGCCTGTGACACTGTGCACTTTTAGCAAAACCGATTTCAGTATCACTATTTACACACATGTATAATACACATGTAAACAAAACATGGCAGGCTCAGCATTAGTATATGCGTTATGAAACAATTTAAATGTTCTTCATTTCAAATTGAACACAGTTATTATCTTCATGTGAATATTTTAAAAATCCATTACTTCTCAAATTGTGTTTTTATATTGACTAGATCATAGAGTAATAAATTGGCTTCTCTACTCCAAATATGTGGGGGCCATAACTGTGCATTAATAGTGGTGGCTTAGTTGGGTTTCACCTTACAGTGAATTAACAACCGACTTACTGGAGCGTAGCTTTGTGTACTAGTGTTACCATAAACCTACCATTCATGTAAAACAGCCCCGATTTAATTTCTGTATAAACTCACCAAGGTCACGGTCAAAGCCTGTGGTTTAATCACAGCTACAAATAATGTACCTGTATAATCGTAATACAAGTACTTCATTACCTGTGTAATATATATATGTTAACTCGTGTAGGACAGTCTGTGGCGAGTCGCATTGTATTTTTAGAAGATTATTATCATGACTGAGGTTGCCATCGTGTATTGGGGCAGGAATGTGTAGTGTGGTAGTCCGGTAGTCCATACCAACTAATAACAGAGAGACGATACCTCCTATACGCTCTACCCTATACAGAGTTACATAGAGCTTAATACTTCAATATTCCCTACAGAAACTTTATAGACTTCCATAATAGATTAGCAGATATATATACAGGACTTTAGACAATCAAAAATGACAAATGACCTGGTTCTCTGTCAGATCATATATCTGTAGTGCAATACACACCTAGTAAACTGTGTCAATTAATGAATTCACAACTGACAGATTAAGTAATTAAAATAAATCATCCTATCCCCAATGTCAAATGTCTAAAGTTTTGCCAATGAAAAAGCCAAAAGTCTAATCATTATCAAATCTCTGCATTATTTTACTATTTGATATGCCGCAGGGGCCAATGTACATGGGGTTACCGCTTGCCCTGTCACACTAGTATACCTACTGTAGCCAAATTATATGTGTTGTTAATATGTATTTGTGATAATTGCAGCTGATGGACTTGATATCAATCTTAAATATTAAACAGTCAACATACATTAAGCATTACTAAACAATTTATAACCAAACCTTGGAATAATATAACCATTTTGGAGTTTTAAAATGAAGATATATGTTTCGTTTGTTCCCGATGCTATTTTATGCACTGCCCTGTGCCTCCGCCCGACCCAGAGAAACTCCATGGGGTGTCCATCCTTAAGCCTCTCTCAGGAGTTGATCCTAACCTCTACAAAAATTTTGAAACATTCTTCAATCAGACTCCGACTCAAATGTAACTCATTAAACCAACATTTATTCCAGAAATGCCTTTCTGACTCACCTTGTTGTATTTGTGGCGTTCTGATAGAGGACAAGCTTCATTTTCTATTTACATGCAGTCACGTTTTACTGGGCACAACGTCGTTACGGATTCCCATGCCAATTACTGCTTCAGTTTTATTCCTTCTGCATTACACTTTACGCCACATTTTCCTTGATTTAACAAATTTATGTGACGATGTGACCTGAGGAATCGGTGAAATGCTTAAGAAACAGTTTTAATTAAAGTGTTTTATAAATATATTAACAAAACACTTTGATGAGCGAAACGGTCCGACTAAAACTACCGAGCCAAGATACATGCAGTTATCTTTCAGTATCGCGCAGAGAGCTTAGCGGCGTTTAGCCTTTTGTCATAGATAGCAAATGCAAACAAATCGCAAAGGTAGAAGAAAAAAACACTTTTTGTAACATAACATATATATTGGACGTTGTTATAGCGAATTTTGTATCATACTATGACAGAAATATAGGTAATCGATGAGTTGCATTTGACCGGCAAGCAGTACAAAAACTTGAATTCTGAGAAATAGCGAACGGAAAAACAGCATCCAGAGTTGTACTACCTGCCATACATTAGTCTGTGCTAAATATCACTTTATGTAAATGTATTTCTATCTTTGCTGAATAATACTATAGATGAATGAAATACATAGACAATGCATAGATAATGATAATGAAAATATCATCTGCAAAATTACTCTAAAGCGCTTTACAAAATATGGATAACAGTATTAGTTATACTTGTTAATTAAAAAAGACTTACAATCACAATTATACGCTAAGCAAGGAGATAATTGTCTCAATTTGCACATAAATAAATAAATAAATAAATGAATAAATAAATAAATGGTGGCGTTTGAGTCTATTATTTATTCAAAACAGGCGTAAGAAACTGTATCACTATGTTTCAGGTTGTGAACGTTAGAAATGTTGGTTAAAATTGAAAAATCTTAAAAAACACAATAGCCCACAAGTAACAAACATAGTCTACCAGAATATACAGACAGAACTGTATACATCAGTATGAATTTATACTATTACATAAATCGCCAATTCAGGTGTTATAATACAGTTTCAGTTTTCTGAAGTAACAATCCAAAGACGATTTTTCGTCATTGAATGTATATAACCCAAATCCTGACAAACAGGTATGAGAAACATTGTTGGAAGATCGGAAATGTATCTGTTTATAGTTACTGCTTGCATTGCAACTGGCCAAGGGCCCTCCTGATCCTTTTTACTGACCTGGTCACTCGATTGGTAGGTTTGGTACCGACAGGTGTCATCCAGGTCCGCTCAAAGTCGCTGACTGACGTGGAAAAGCTAATACGCGACTGTGTCGAGGCCAAACGAACGAAGCGAAACATCTTGAACAGATCGTCACCACGTTATATTCTCAGTAAATCGGTAAAAGGATTGTTACGTGAAAAACATATAATCTTTATATATGGTAGTCATTTCCTTATCCAACTTATTCCAAAAAATATACCAGCCAATCAGTACATTCATTCCGATAACCTCTGTCCTGCTTTATTTGGTTAGACCACGTGCGACGGTTAATTTCTAAAATGCCGTGTACTAACTTGTCCTTTTGCTTTGTAAATGTACTTTATTCAGCATTAAATGTTCCTTGCCTAAATAAAAGACGGTAAACATAGTTATAAAAAATACACGACGTGTTCCGACAACAAGAATAAACTTTGGATTCAGGTTAGGTAACAAAGGAATGCCGGATGTTTTGATGTTTTTAGCAACATTTAAAAAAAGTAATTACGTAACCGTGACCATTTTTTTTTTTATTGATATCATTTTTGTGTACCATGAACAATATACCACAGTGTGCGCAGATCCTGAAGAGATGAGCAATCATATGTATATGTACCATAGGAGATGCGAAAGTATTGAATAATGCAATTCCTCTCTGGCGGCTGGTATTGGCTGTATAAACATATACATGTGGACGTTATTTCAGGTCCGTTTTCTTAACAAATTTCTCCCACATCCCCTATACCCTGTACATGATTTCATTTGTCAACTGTTTATTTGAGACGTCACGTAACAATGGTTTTCGACGTAATTTTAGCAAAGTAAAGTTGGACAGTTATTCGTTATTCGTTATCCGTTTACCTTACAGTTATTCGTTATTCGTTAACTTTACGTAGAAAGGGTATGCAGGTGGTATCACATCAATAATTTACAGCGTGTTGAATTACCACCATCAGATGTCCATTTTGAATGTTGATAGATTGTTAACGCCATCTTTCAGAAAGATTTTTCTGAAGTTTGACACGAATTGGTCTGTAGTTACGCATATCGAGTTTAGGATCTGACATGAAAACAAAAGATGGCCGATAGGCGGCAACATTTTTTTTTGATTTTTTTGTTTAAGATAAATAGTGTTAGTGCTATTTCACAGAAAGTATTCGAAGGATCTTTCTTAATGTCCACATGAAGGTTTCAATTGGTCTCTTGTTATGAATGTCGAATTTTGTGTCTGATTAGAAAACCAAGTTGGCTGACGAGCAGTTCCAGTGGTCTTCTGTTATGCAATAAAGGGTCTAATCAGAATATCACTATGGATGATAGGCTGCCATTTTGAATTCAGAGATTGAGAGGTTGTTGGCGCTATTTCTCAATAAGTACTTGATAGATCGTTATCCTATTTCGTATGTTTACCTTCATATGACCTTAATTAGTTGTGCATATTTCATATTAAGGCTGTTTAGAAAAACACAAAATGATCGCAACGACATCCATGCTTGATTTTGACAGTTACAGATTGTTATCCATATTAATTGAAAAATGTAGCACAACAACCTGACTTTGAAAGTTCAATGTCATACAAATCAGTTTATTTTTTTTATGAAAATTTACTATTAGTTAACAAATTGTTTACGTGACTTATTCAAACAGAAAAGAGATAAGCAGAGTAAAGATCAATAGAACAAGGAAACTATGAAGATGGTACGATGGTAGGCGCCCGGGTCTATCTGTGTAGATAGAAACGTAGTAAAAGAGATGTTTGGAATTAGAAAGTAAAGCTTAGAAAATTCATATTGAATGATCAGCAATCAGATGTTGTTAGATTTTGACCAAGTTTAGTATGGTTTTGTTCATTTAAAATAAAAGTGAGTATGATGTCGCTACAACATTTATTAAGAGAGTCTAGTGTCTAAATAGGTCTAGATCCCGTGCCGATGCCAAACGTTTAAAAGGTTCCACGTACAGGGGGTGCCATAACGATAGAACTTGGTGTTCACTCCGAGTCAGTACCATGAACATAGTATTAGTACGACATTTCATGTGTTCATTATCATACAGAATACGGTCGCAACTAGTATAGAATCTGTGACGGTGCCCAATATTTGAATGGTTCCAGAAAGTGGAGGTTCGGCAAAAAACATTTGCATTACGTTTAAGTAGGATTTAAATAGGGTATTGGTAAATAGATGGCACACAAGATTTGGAAATATCTAGAACAGATGTAGATGTCCATCTTTTGAAAGGTTCCACATGTAATAGACGAAACAAAAATAATTTACACGTAGTAATCGATTACAATCAAAAGGTGGAGTTACAAATATGAATTCGTATAGACATTTTTGTTGATTTCTATTGCTCCCGGTGCTCTTGTGTTTGAAAAACAAAATGGAGAATATCATAATGCATTCAGGTTTTACACATTCGACAAACGCTCCATCCGATGTCACCGTTGCGTATAATCTTCAGAGACATGTTTTCCACCTTAATGAAAGAATAACATTTAGACTGATGTATTTTATCCATGAACATTCAGTCATACGCTCATTATCCTTGCATGGGCATATGGACATGATTATACACAACACATAAACTTCGTTAAGGAGTTATTTAAATGAATGGTGAACACAAATATTGTTTAAGAATATATATCAGGTACATAAGCTATTTTCCTATGCATTGCCCTAAAATGAAACCGATGAAATAGTTTAAGTAATGATATGCACTTTTAAGATCGGAACACATTGAACATAACAAAAGGATTAGCACCCTATAATGTAAAACGACGTAACAAAGGGGACATCCGGGTAAATACGGACACTTTTGAAATGACTGATAATACACGCTCCTTGGTGATCAACGTCTAGCATGAACAGAGTTTGATTTAATCATATGTAATGGATTATATATGATTCATTTAAGGACTGTCCGTATATGCCCGCCTGGCCGTATTTACCCGGATGTCCCCTATTTATAAAAAGCGAAAACACATGGATTTCACGAAACCATCAAACTGATTGAATTGACATAAAAGGCAATTGAGTGATATTCTGACAGGGATGGGCTTAGTATAAAATAGAGTTATGCGCATGATTATGAAATGGTACAGCACATGACTATGAAATGGTACATCACAGTCATATATATATATTTTCAAAATAAAAACTGAAAATTGGTATCAAAGAGCTAAACTCCCTAACGGGAAAGACATGGATATTTGATTGCCTATTCATGAATATATTATGACAGTCATCTCTATTGGATTTTACAGGACGGTGCTTTTAATGAAATACTTAACATATTAAATAAAATATTGAACATTGGTGTTATTCTGACCAAATATACTTTTACACCTGCGATTGACATCAACTTAATACAATGATAGGACAAGATTACATTAGGTGTACAAGTGGAATATTCCAAATACCAGTATTTCTTTCGCATGATTAAAAACAAATCATTGGACTGCCAGTCAATGTGATGAAAAGTATATGTAATACATTAAGATCATAACAATGAGCAATATTTGCCAAGAAAATATTAGAATGAAGAAGTTTAGATTAGAGTAACATTTTGTTTTTTGAACACATATATTGTTCAATAGTATAGTTAGACACAAATAAGTAACCAATGAATAAGGTAAGGATACCCTGAACAGAAATTTTACAGTTAATCGCATGTGCCAATCTTTCTTTCAAGAATAAATGTGGTTTTAGAACAAAAATAATATTATTGTTTATTTGAAAGTGAAAAATCATAGTAGGCAGATAATAGTGAAATATGTATGTGTAAAATGATTCATCCGAGCTAGTCAAAATCGAACACTAGTGGCAGACTGGACCTTTAAGCAAAACCTATACCATATAAAATACCTTTAAAGTTAACTTTAAACACAGTGAACCGGACAACGCAACAATTACTGAAATAAAAATTATTGTTATTTCAAACATTTTCTGTATTCTTATTTTTTTATCATTGTAACTTTGTTATGATTTGACCAAACATGTTGAAGCAAACATTATCTAGTCACACTCTTCCACACTTTTTGGAACCTTGTGCAAGGTAAATAACTTTTTACCTGTAAAATCACGGGTAGATCTACAGGTAAGATATATCAGGTAAATATAGTACATTTTTTTTCATTTTTTCCCCCATTTGGTTTGTACAAGACAAGACAAAACATATATGACATTGTTCATAAGTACATCGTCATCATCATCATCATCATCATCATCATCATCATCATCATCATCATCATCATCATCATCATCATCATCATCATCATCATAATCATCATCATCATCATCATCATCATCATCATCATCATCATCATCATCATCATCATCAACCTGGCATAATGCTTAACATCATCATCTTCGTCACCATCATCTGACATCATCATCATCATCGTCATTATCCGACATCATCATCATATAAGATAGTATTCTTAACATTATCATCATTATCATCTGACATCATATGACATCATCAACATCATCATCTGTCATCATCATATAAGATATTATTTCTAACATTATCATCATTATCATCAAAATCATCTGACATCATCAACATCATCATCTGTCATCATCATCACAATCACCAGCATCCTGACATAATTCTATCTTCATCCTCCTCATCATCATCATCCTCATCATCAGACATCATCATATACGATATTATTCCTAACATTATCATCATTATCATCAAAATCATCTGACATCATATGACATCATATGACATCATCAACATCATCAACATCATCAACATCATCATCATATAAGATAGTATTCTTAATATTCTCATCTGACTTCATATGACATCATCAACATTATCATCATCACCATCATCAGCCATCATTATCATATGTCATCATTTTCATCCGATATCATAAGCAGATATTAAAAAAATGCCAATGCCATGTACATACATAAAGACATATACACTGATACACTGATGCAAAAACAATATATATAAACATATGACATCAAACACACAAGAGCAAAACCAAAAAAAAAATGAAACAGAAAGAAAAAAAAAGAAAAAAACCCAACAAAAACAACAACAAACTAGAAATATTTCCACCTGTCAATCAAAATGATAATTACCAGGTGTAAATACATACATGCTGTTCAGGTAGCCATGCCAACACATGGAATTAATAGGAAAGCATGTTG